GGTGACCGCCACTCACCAGGCTCATGTCGTCGCAGCAGGCGGCGCAGGTGCAGGAGGCGGCGTGGGGGTTCAGGATCCCGTCCTGGAACGAGAAGGTGCCGCCACCGTCAGACTGCCTGAACGTGAGCGCTCCATGAGGCGAGATCCTGCACTTCCCAGAACCTTCCCTCCCTCCAGGGTGTTCGTTCCCCCTTCCCCTCCATCTACTCCCAGGAAGCCCAGCTGGGACAGAACACTGGCTGCGCCCAGGCCTCCCGCCACTCCACGGGCAGACGACACCATCGGAGCGTCGGGAGAGGAGACACAGGCAGCCACACGGTGCCCAGGCCCCGGCCGCCGTGCAGTCCAGCTGGGGCCGGGAGCCGCCCCGAGGCGGGCGGGCGGGTGAGGGTGAGGGCGCACCTGGATCAGGCACTGCAGCGGCCGGCCCGCGTAGCGGATGCTCCGCTTCCAGTCCTTGCTGCTGGCCCTCCCGGCCATGGCCTCGAACTCCGTGGGGCTGTACCAGTTCTCCCCCTGCTTGATGCACCGGCCCCGGCCGCCTGGAACACAGGACGGCCGGTTCCCGCCTCCTGCCCGGCTGGTCCGGGCCTGGACCTCACCCGCTCCTGCGTGGGCCTCGGCTGAGGGGCAGGGCTGCCCGCGTCCCGGATCTGCAGCCACTGCCCACGCTGCCACGCCCAGCTCCAGGCAGCTGCCCAGCCGGAGCCCGCTGCCCCGTCCCCATCTGAGCCAGGAACAGACGCCTCGGCCACCTCTCCCTCGCTGGGTCACCGCGCTTCCTGGTTGACCATGTCGTGTCCCCCCCCCCCCTCCCGCACCACCCGGACCTCCTGGGCGCCCTGACTTCGCCCGTGTCCTTAACCAGCTGTGGGCCGGGTGCCGTGGGCTGCGGGCAGGGTCCGGCAGGGCGGGCGCCTACCTGAGCCCAGCCGGTTCTTGTAGAGCGTGCCGCTGATGTTGCGGCAGCGCACAGGCAGCTCGCTGTCGTACACCGACGGGTCCCAGTTGTACTTGCTGCCCCCCTTGTCCTGCCCGGGCGCCAGGGGCGTGGGAGGCGACTGCGGACCTGGGCACAGAGAGCGTTTGGCGGTGAGACCCGGACAAGCCGGGAGGAGCGGGGCCGGTCAGTTCCCACGGCGGGTCTCGGTGTTCCCCGGTGACCCCCCAGCACCGCCCTCCACTCCAGATGGGGCCCCGCGGGCAAGCCTTCCTCAGCTGGAAAAACCCACTTAGTAATAGCTGCTATTCCAGCCCTGGCCGGTGTGGCTCAGTGGATAGAGTGTCGCCCTGCAGACAGAAAGGACCCGGATTTGGGTCCTGGGTTTGATTCTGGTCGGGGCACATGCCTGGGTTGTGGGCTTGATCCCCAGTGTGGGGTGGGCGTGCAGGAGGCAGCCGATCAGTGATTCTCTCATCACTGATGTTTCTCTCTCCCTCTCTCTCCATCTCTGAAACGAATAAAAACATGTCTTGAAAAGTTAACAGTAATTGCTATTCCAAACTGACCGCAGAAATAAGCAAGGACCCCCCGGACCCCCCCCCCCGGCTGTGGGGGGCAGGCCGTACCTGGGGTGAGTGGGGCGGCCGGCCCCTTCAGCCCCGCGGTCTCCACGATGCTCCCGTCCGTGTGCACCACGATCAGCGTGGCCTTTTCGGGGTTCAGGCTGTCGCCGATCTGCAGGGCGGTCCTGCCGGACTAGAGGGGAGGGGCACTCCAATCGTCTCGGGACGATTGCCCCTGCCGCGAGGTTCTCCCTGTCACCACGGCGACGCCTGCCACGCCCGTGGGTCTCCTTCGAAGATGTCACCGAGACATGAACGCAGAGCCCACTGCGAGGAGAGTCCGCGGCAGCTGTGTGGCCCCGAGCTCACGGGAGACCGCCTGCGGAGCCGCAGCACCGGCTGCTCCAGAGAAGCCTGAAACAGGCGCCGGCCGCCCGGCCTCCGGGAGGGAAGGCCGGGAAGCCGGGCCCTCCCCCCAGACCGGCCCTCCCCCTCCCCCTCAGACCGGCCCTCCCCCTCCCCTCAGACCGGCCCTCCCCCTCCCCCTCAGACCGGCCCTCCCCCTCCCCTCAGACAGGCCAGGGCCCTCCCCCTCAGACCGGCCCTCCCCCTCCCCCTCAGACCGGCCCTCCCCACCCCCTCAGACCGGCCCTCCCCCACCCCCTCAGACCGGCCCTCCCCTCCCCTCAGACCGGCCCTCCCCCTCCCCCTCAGACCGGCCCTCCCCCTCCCCCTCAGACCGGCCCTCCCCCTCCCCTCAGACCGGCCCTCCCCCTCCCCTCAGACGGCCCTCCCCCTCCCCCTCAGACCGCCCGGGCCCTCCCCCTCAGACCGGCCCTCCCCCTCCCCTCAGACCGGCCAGGGCCCTCCCCCTCAGACCGGCCCTCCCCCTCCCCCTCAGACCGCCCGGGCCCTCCCCCTCAGACCGGCCCTCCCCCTCCCCCTCAGACCGCCTGGGCCCTCCCCCTCAGACCGGCCCTCCCCCTCCCCCTCAGCCCGGCCCTCCCCCTCCCCCTCAGACCGGCCCTCCCCCACCCCCTCAGACCGCCTGGGCCCTCCCCCCAGACTGGCCCACGGAAGCTGGCCAGTGGACGGTGGGCACTCCCATCCTAGGGCCCTGCTCGGCCACCTGCGAGGGGGCGGGAGCGCTGTGCCCTGACCCCTGGGCTGGGCCCACATTTCATGACTGGTCCCCCTCCAGCTCTACCCTCAAAGCCCCTGAACCCCCCTCCCAGGCAGCAGCCCCCCCAACCCCCCTCCCCGGCAGCAGCCCCCCCAAACCCCCCCCCCCGGCAGCAGCCCCCACAAACCCCCCTCCCCGGCAGCAGCCCCCCCAAACCCCCTCCCCGGCAGCAGCCCCCCCAAACCCCCTCCCCGGCAGCGGCCCCACTAGAGCAGGAGCCGGGGGGGGGGGGAGCCCCCGGACGGCGCACGGCAGCTTACCAGCACGTGGCCGGAGAGAGAGGCGGCGTTGGCCACCGAGGTGGTGAAGACGTTGTCCGCCGAGGCGCCCACGTTGGCCACCGTCACGGTGGTCACCTCTGCAACACGGGAGCCGACTCAGCGCCCCCAGAGCCCGGCCTCACAGCGCCGGGGCACCCACCACAGGGCTGCTCCCCAGCCGGCACCGCACGGAGGCCCTGGCTATGGGGGCGCCTTCGGCTGCCGGGAGAAGCCACCCCGGAGAGCCTTCCCGCCAGGATGGGCCCCGAGCGCCCGGCGCCACCCGACGCCCTGGCTCCTCCTGCTGGCTCTGCCCTCCCGGGGGGCTCCTGGCCCCCCTTTACTTCCATAGCGCCCGCCCTGCGTGCGGAGGGAACCGTCTGAACGCACATTCTAGTCTGAAGGCCACACAGCAGGCCTCTGCCCAGCAGGGAGCCTCCGAGGGCACCCAGAACCCCCTAACCTATGTCAGTGTTACCGCTTCAACACGCAAAACAACCACAGCCCGCCCGGCGCGGCTCAGGCTGAGCATCAACCTCGGAAGCAGGAGGCCAGGGTTCCATCCCGGTCAGGGCATGTGCGGGGCTGCGGGCCCCATCCCCAGTGGGAGGCGTGCAGGAGGCAGCCGGTCGATGATTCTCATCGTTGATGTTTCCCTCCCTCCCTCCCTCCCTCCCTCTCTCTCTCCCTCCCTCTCCCTTCCTCTTTGTGATCAATAAAAATACATTTAAAACAAACAAAAAACACAGCCCGAAAGATTTGCAGGGAAGAAAATCACGCTTCTGCACTGTGAAATCCATGCGCAAAAGGGACAAAAACCCGAAGGAAACTTCACGGTGCAAAGTCCCGACGTTAATCCAGAGTTTAGCAACAAAAACGGAACCGAGAGCCACAACGCCTCCGAGGACCCGGCACAGACCACACAGGCACCAGCACTGGGGCACCCCACACCCAGCTGGTTCACCCGCACGCACACACTGGGGCCACACGCAGGGACACACACACACACAGGGACCGGACAGACAAGGCCGGCTGGGCAAGGGGAAAGAGCACAGAGTGCTGACAGGAGGGGGTGGGCTGGACAAGGAAAAGGGGTTCAGGGAGCAGATGTGCCTGCAGGGCCAGTGTGCAGGAGCCACTGGGCACAGTGTGAGGCAGGTGCTGGGGAGGAGGTGGCCGGCCATGGGGCTTTGCAGGGGGTGTATGTGGGGGGCTTTGCAGGGGGTGTATGGGGGGGCTTTGCAGGGGAGGTGATGTGGGGGGCTTTGGGGACAGGGGGTGCATGTGGGGGCAGGTGCTTCGGGCAGGTCTATGGTCCAGGTGTGCGCGGGCAGGTGCGGGTGTGGGTGTGCGGGCAGTGCGTCGGGCAGACAGGGCCTGGTCCGGCGGGGCAGGTGCACGGCGGGCGTGTGGGCCGGTGGGAGTGGTGTGCGGGCTCTGCGGGGTGAGAGTGCGGGCTGGTCGGTGCATGCGGTGCAGGTTACGTGCGGAGCAGGTGCACGCCGTGCAGGCGTGGACTGGGGGCGGGGGCGTGCAGGGGTGCGCGCGGGCGCGGGCGGGCGGCGCGGGCCGGCAGCACTTGCCTGCGAAGGCGGCGGCCGCAGCAGCCTCGTCGGGGCCGGGCAGGGCCTCGGCGCCCATGTCCATGTGCCGGGGCTCGGCGGCCATCACCGCCACGGCCGTCACCCGCCGCGTCTCGCGCTCCGCCTGCGCGTCCCCGTCCTCCTCCGAGTCCTCGTCCCTGCGGAGCACCGGCTCGTCCGCCTCGCTCCCCGCCGCGGCCGCGGCCGCCGCCGCCACAGCGGCCGCGGCCGCCACCGCCGCCGCCTCGGCCAGGCCCAGCTGCTTGGCGGCCGCGTCCGAGTCCTCCATCCGGACTCCGCCGAGCGCGCCCGGCCGCGCGGCGAGCCGAGCCGAGGATGCCCGAGCGGCGGCCGAACCGGCACGAAGGGGCCCGGGCGAGCCGAGCCGACGGCCGGGAGTCCGGAACCGAGCGCCGCCGAAGGTGCGCGAGCGCGCGGCGCGGGGGACGCCGGGATCGCGGCGGACCGGGGGCGGGGCCGGGCCGGCAAGATGGCGGCTGCGCGGCGCGGTGAGGGCGCGGAGGGGCGCTCGGGCGCTGACCCCGGGTCCCGGGCGGGGGCGGGGGCCGGTGCTCCCCGGGCTGGACGGGCCCCCCTGCACCCGCCGCCCCGTCCCTCCTCAGCCCGCTGGTGGACCGGCCGCGCGCGGAGCCCGCCCATCGGGGCCTGGGGTGGCCGCGGGGCCCGGCGTCCCTGGGCGGCGCCGCTCGGGGTCCCGGGGGCGAGAGGCGGGCGGTCGCGGGGCCCAGGGAGACCCGCGGCTTCGGGTCCGCGGACCCAGGACCGGAGGCCGGGGTCGGTGTCCGCATCCCCGGGCCCGGCCCCCTGACCGCCCTCTCTCCCCCAGGGAGCGCGTCCCCCACGGCCGTATCCTGCCGCTGCGCCCCGTCCTCCGCGCCGCGGGCCCGCTCCGGCGTTGGGGCCCTGGGACCCCGGACCCCGAGCCCGGGGGTGACGGCTGTTGGGAGGAGGTGCTCACGGCCGGTTCTGCGGGTCGAGGTGACTCCGCTGGCCCAGCACCGCCCGCTCCGCTGCGCCCCGGAGTGGGGAGAGGGGCCGCCGGGGTGGAGCCAAGACCCCCGAATGCGCGCAGCCCCCTGGCATGAACACATCCCGACAGTGCGGAGCTCCCGAAAGTTGGTGGCGGGGATTTAACTGCTCCCCGAGTGAGGGGAGTAGACTTTATTCCAGGAAAACAAAACCCCTCTTTCTCCCGGTCTTGTAGCTGGGGCCGTGGTCAGGGGGATGCCCAGCGTGCTGAGGCTCCTGCCTGCTGCGCACAGTCAGTCCCCTGCTCTATGCCAGGATGTCCCTGTGAGGGGTGCCCCCCACTTCTCCCGGGGCACCAGGGGCAGTATCGATGGGTGCCTGGCAGGCAGGACTCCATGGCACCACAGGTGCCTAAGCTGGGCCACCGTGTCTGTGGCGGCCTGGCAGCCCCTTTTGCCCGGCGCTGGGGGGGCGCCCGGGGCAGCACCGCTGCTGGACGGAGTCCTTAACGGCTGGCCAGCTCTCCTCCGTCCTCCTGCAGATGCTGCTCTGCCTCAGCGGCGTGTATTCCATCCTCTACCTCCTGGCCACGCTCCTGCTGATCGCCTACAAAAGTGCGTCCTGAGCGCAGGGGCGGGGTGGGGGTGGGGGTGGGGGGCCGGGGTGCTGCCGCTGGACCCTGAGCTCAGGCCGGTGCCCGCCCCTGCAGGCCAGACATTCAGTTACCCTCAGGACCACCTGGTGCTCGACCTGATGCTGCTGCTCCTGACCGGGGCCCTGGAAGCAGCCCGCTGGCACTGCGGTGAGTGGACGGCACTGCAGGGAGCGGGCCAGGGGGGTGGGCAGACTGGGGGGGGGCAGGCTGGGGGGAGCGGACCAGCCGGGAGGTAGGGGGCAGGCTGGCTGCTGGGGGACTGACCGGCCGCAGGGAGTTCGGGCACTGTGAGGCAGACGGCTGGCTTCCTGTGACCTCTGAGCAGCCTCTTACAGCACGCTCTCAGAGACACTTGAACGCGCTCAAGTGTTCCACTGGATGCCTGCAGGCTCGCCGTACGGTGAATGAAGTATTAATCCATTCATTGGGAAGCCTGGCCAGGAGGCTCCTGAGAGACAGTCGCAGGGTAGCAGTGCTGCCCCGCAGCCGAACGCTCTGCTTCCCCTGCTCCCCTCCCCGAAGCCACAGAGGTCTGTCCGTCCCCTCCAGGACCGCAGGCTGCAGGCCGGAGGTGGAGGCCTTGCAGAGCTACAGAAGCACAGTGTGCCCCCTGCCCCTCCCCACTCACCCCGAGGGCCCGGATTCCTGCCCTGTCTGCCTCGGGCACTCACAGGCGTGAGCTCGCTAGTACCTCAGGGCCTGCGTGTCCCACCCTGCCACACCCCGACTGGCCTGGGGGGTGGGGCTCAGGGGAGCCAGAAGGACGTCTCGGCCGTCCTGATGAGTGCGCTGGGCCTTCGTGTCCACTGTCACAGGCCAGCCTCCTGCCGTGGGCGGGTGGCGAGTGGCATAGAACTGCCTGCCCACCTAAGCTCCCCCCACTGTGGGCTCTGGGTACCCTGGGCATGTGGGCACCGCATTTTCCATGATTGCCCGTTTGTGAAATCCAGTTTTGTCTTTCCTAACTACACATAGTTTTCCTGGGCCTTACCCCAGAGTAAAATAACTTAGGAAAAGGCGTGAGATTGCGCTTGGGATGGTTTTCCCACCCACTCAGCTGCCCCAGCGGCAGGGTGGGGTCAGCTATGGTGGTCCTCACCCTCCTGAGGACGATGCTCCTTATGTTTTGCTTTCCAGCACCAAGTCCCGGGTGGTAGGTGGTCCCCACTGACGCCCACCTGCCCAGAGGTGCCTGCAGCCTCGCCCTCCTGGTGCACGCGATGTTGGGTCCCTACCAGGCGCCCGCAGCCTGGCACTCACCATGTTTGTTCTGCTCCACAGGCATCAAGGGCAACCTGACAGAGACGGAGCTGCCGCTGGCTGCCAGCCTGGTGCTCACCGTGGCCAGCTCCCTGCTGTCCGTCTACTTCCTGCTCTGGCAGACTCTGGTGCTGTGGGCGGACTCAGTCCTCAGTGCCACGCTCCTGGTGCTCCACGGCCTGGAGGCAGTCCTGCAGGTGGCGGCCATCGCTGCCCTCATCAGCTAGCTGGGCACCTGAGGCCCGGGCGAGGGAGGGCATGCTCCCAGCTGGTTTGGGCGGGATAGAGTGTTGGGGGCAGGACCAGGCAGAACCAAGTGTTGGTGATGGGGACAGGTGCAGGCTGAGTCAGGGCTGCCTTGGACAACCCTCGGGGTACCCCCGCAAGGCAGCAGGGGCAGTGGGCTTCACCGGGCACCGCCTAGGAGCCTGGCCACTCCCTCGAGGGTGTGCCCAGCCACACACATTTTCCCACTGCGGCAGCATGCCCACGTGATGGGAACAGCTGGGGTGGCAGGGAGCCCCGGATCCTCAGCCGCTCCGGCCGAGTCCCGGTGGAGAGCTCAGAGTGGAAGGTGCCGTGTGGCCTCTCGGCTCCTTCCCCAGGCTCTGGGTCAGCCGACCCCGGGGCAGCGCACCTCTCCCGCCGGGTTGGTGCAGCCACTTCAGGGCTCAGGTGTCCTGCTCAGCCATTAGAATGCCCGGCGGACCCGGGCCTGCTGTAAGCGGATCCTTCTGCATCGCCGTCCTCCGCATGCATGCTCCTCCGGAGCGTGTTCTGTGCGGAACAACATGTCCAAGGGGCTGGGTCCTCCTCACCGCGGTGTTCAATAAAGAAGCGTTTTCGCTCCTCCCTGCATCTTCCTGACTGGCCGCCGCTCAGCCCGCCGCGCTGGGCCCGCTCCGGCCCAGGACCCAGACCTAACCTCCCCACAGGCCCGCTGGGCCCAGGCCACAGACAGGCAGGGACGCTGGGGCTCCAGGTGGTCACGACCTGCCCGCCGTCAGTGCTGCTCATGTGATCCTGGCCATGGCGTTCAGATGCCACTTGGCCAACGGGGGCGGGGCAGGCGTGCCTTCCCTGCTGGGTGCTCAGCACTCAGACAACCAGGAAGCCAGTGCTCTGAGGGCAAAGGCCACTTCCTCTTCCCCCCACAGGCACCCCCTGTGCAAACACCCCCCACAGGCACCCCATCGGTAAACACCCCCCCCACAGGCACCCCTGCCAAAAGCCCTCCACAGGCACCCCTCCCAAACACCCCCCCACAGGCATCCCATCGGTAAACACCCCCCCCACAGGCACCCCTCCCAAACACCCCCCCACAGGCACCCCTCCCAAACACCCCCCCACAGGCACCCCTCCCAAACACCCCCCCACAGGCACCCCTCCCAAACACCCCCCCACAGGCACCCCATCGGTAAACACCCCCCCCACAGGCACCCCTCCCAAACACCCCCCACAGCACCCCTCCCAACACCCCCCCACAGGCACCCCATCGGTAAACACCCCCCCCACAGGCACCCCTCCCAAACACCCCCCACAGGCACCCCTCCCAAACACCCCCCACAGGCACCCCATCGGTAAACACCCCCCCACAGGCACCCCTCCCAAACACCCCCCCACAGGCACCCCTCCCAACCACCCCCCCACAGGCACCCCTCCCAAACACCCCCCCACAGGCACCCCTGCCAAAAGCCCTCCACAGGCACCCCTCCCAAACACCCCCCCACAGGCATCCCATCGGTAAACACCCCCCCCACAGGCACCCCTCCCAAACCCCCCCCCACAGGCACCCCTCCCAAACACCCCCCCACAGGCACCCCTCCCAAACACCCCCCACAGGCACCCCTCCCAAACACCCCCCCACAGGCACCCCTCCCAAACAGCCCCCCACAGGCACCCCTCCCAAACACCCCCCCACAGGCACCCCTCCCAAACAGCCCCCCACAGGCACCCCTCCCAAACACCCCCCCACAGGCACCCCATTGGTAAACACCCCCACAGGCACCCCTCCCAAACCCCCCCTACAGGCACCCTCTCCACACCCCTGCAATGCCTCCAGGAAAGTCCGTGGGGTCCTGGCACCAGGAGAGTGCAATGTGGGTGCCTTCCTGCCCTCGGGGTTCCGCCAAGAAGCCCTCTGTGCCAGCTGGGAGCAGAGGCATACCAACTGCCGCCTCCTGGGCTCAGGCCCGAGACCCTTTGTGCAATCGCTTCAGCTCCCCCAGCCAGGAGAGGAGCTGGACCCAGACCCGGGCTGTAACCCACCTGGCCTGCCCTCTGCCCTCTGCACTCGGCCCTCTGCTCAGCCCTCGCTCCACTGCATGGCAGAGGCCTGGAGAGGGTGCAGGAGGAAGGACCCTGCCCCACAAGGCAGAGCTGGGCCTGGGCTGAGGAGGGAGGCACCACCCGGAGCACTCCTGCCCCATGGTTCCCCGCCCGGGCCCCGGGACAGCCCGGCCCCAGGCTTCCCCGCGTCCACCAGACACCCAGCCCTCGGGGCCGGCTGGGCTGGGTGCCGGAGAATAGGGGCTTCGGGAGTTCCTGCTGAGAAGGACCCCCTTCCCCCTGAGACACCCACAGGAGCAGCCTGCCCCTAAGCTGGGGCCAACCAGGGGCCCCTGGAAGATGTCAGAGCCTCGCCCTGCAGGTCCCCGCGCACCCGCCCTGGGAGCCCAGCTCTAGGGGCGAGGTCTGGCCGGGGCGCCAGTGGCTGTTAGGCAGGGATCCCCCGCGGGGAGCCCTTGGGGGCGGGGTTGGGGCGGGGCGGGCTATGACAGGGGCGGGGTTAGGGCGGGCGGGGGCAGCCGTCCCGCCCCGCCCCTCGGTGTTGTCCAGGTTCTAACCTGCCGCTCAGGTTCCTGGTGGCGGCCCCGCCCCTGTCCGGGGCCCAGCCCTGCCGCGTCCTCCGTGCGCAGGAGCCCGTGTGGACAGACGGGCGGACGGACGCGGGGCGAGGGGACCCGCGAGCAGCAGGTGAGCGCCCGGGGGTCCGGGACCAGCGCGCCCCCCGCGCCCCGCCCCGCCCCGCCCGGCCTCAGTTTCCCCAGGAGGCGGGGCGGCGGTCCGTGGCCGAGTCGGGGCGGGAGGCGTCGGGCGGTCGGTCGGGGCTCGAGGGGCTGGAGCTCGTGGCCGGAGTCCGTCCCGCTGCGGCCCGGCCTGCCCGTCGGCGGGTGCGCGGGGCCGGGAGTAGCCAGGGCACCAGCCAGCCGGGCGCGGTGCGGCACCCCGTCCTCCGCCGAAAGGTTGGGGAGGGGGCTCCCCGTCCTCGCAGGCCGCACCCCCATTCCGGGGCGCTGGGCCTCCGCGGGGGAGCCGACCTGGAGGTGCGGGCTCCTGGTGGTCAGACGGCAGGAGGCACTTCCTGGGTGGCAGCGAGGAAGCCCGGGCGGGAGCTGGGACGGGGCAGGCCCGGGGTCACGGCCGGGGTGTGGGAGTTTCAGGGCGGCGGGCAGGGCCGGGGAGCGGACTGGCAGCCTCCCGCTCTCCCACATTCTTCCTCCGGGGCAGCCCCGGCGAGGGTGTGCCTGGGGAGGCCTCGTCACAGGCCCCTGCCCTCCCCGGGTGGAATCTGCCCCAGGCCGGGCCCAGCTGGCGGCCCTCCCCCAGCCCTGCACACACACACACACACACACACACACACACACTCACACTCACACACAAACACTCACTCACACCCTGGTCCTGCCCAGGCCTCGCCAGGTCCCTGCCTGGTGCCCCGCCTGGTGGCCCAGAGCGCCCGCGGGCCTGCCCCCCCAGTGTGCTCAGCACCTGCCTGCTCCCCACTTTCCCCGTCATCCCTCTGCCGCCCAGGCCCCTTCCTCACCCGCAGTTCTAGCCAGGGCCCCACCCGGCTCCCCAGGCCTCAGCGGACTCCTCCCCAAGGTCACAGGCTACAGGCTGGAATTTGAACCTGGATCCGGTCCCTCCGCCCTCCCTGCCCTGCTGGGGCCCTCTCCCCTGCCGGAAAATGACCGCAGTAAAACCAAAGTGCAGCCTGGGCCTGGGGCCCCGGGGGGGGGGGGGGGGGGCGGCCCTGCTCCGTCAGCTGATGAAGCCTCCTGTCACCTACGGGACCCAGATGCCAGCATCAGGGCCCCTCCCTCTGGTCCTGATGCTCCCCACCCGCCCGGGGCTGAAGGCACAGGGTCCCAGCCGGGCTCCCGAGGGGAGTGCGCATGCCACGGCCGGTGGGGCTGAGTGTGCCCGCAGGCCCCATTTCACCGAGGGGTGTGTGCCTCACACACGTGCCCGTGCCCTTGGCCCAGCCCGCCAGCCAGGAATCCCATTAAGCAAATACTCGGCTCACCCACTGAGGTCATGAGCATTCCGGGCATTCTCGGGGCACCGATGGATGGAGGGAGCTGGCCGGACGCTGTGGCAGGTGGGCAGGCGGGGGCTGTGGCTGGAGGCCCCCCGGCCGCACACTTCCTGGTGGGCCTCCCCGCAGGTGGGACCCCGTCAGACCGGCACTCCCGGGGCTGCTCCCCGCCCTGGATGCCAGCACCCCTGGTTTGTGGCCGCTGGCCGGGCCAATCCCGACACTGAAGCCACTTGCTGGCGACCTTTGACAGGAGGAGGATGTGGGCCCCAGCGTCCCCCCGGGGGGCACACCCAGGGGTGCCAGGCTCTGCTCCTGCCCCTGGGAGTCCCCCGGCTCCAGCCTCATCGGGCCTGCCCCCTCCCGTCTCGGGGCCTCAGATGCCATTCCCTCTGTTTAAGGTGCCTCCTCCCAGCCCCCTCCAAGCCCCCAGGACTGCCTGCTCCAGCCCCCCCAGACAGCCTCTGGGAGCGGAACCCTCTGTGGCCCGTCCGGGGGTCCCTGTGGAGGGCCCAGGGTCTGGGGAGGGAGGGGCCTCGGTGACGGCTGCTGGGACATGGTCGGGAGGTGGCCCTGGGCATCTGGATCCTGGGTGGTGGTCAGGGCTCCGGCCTGGATCTGGGCGGGGGACGAGGAGAGCCTGTGAGGCTGGAGGTGTCAGCCTGCTCTCCCTGTGCCCAGGGCTGAGCGCTCTGGGCCTGGCCTCGGGCCGCGCTGGGACCTGCCAGCCGCCACTGGCCGCGGAGGACACCATGAGCCAGTCGGGGTCTCTGAGCTGCTGCCCAGGCGCCGCCAAGTGAGTCCCCACCCCGCACCCCCTCCCCGTCATCTGCCTGCCCCCCCACCTTCCCCGTCATCCCTCCCGCCGCCAGGCCCCCCACCCCGCCCACCACAAGCAGTCCCGGGAAGGGGTGCCGCGGCCCCACCCTCACGGCCCCTCCCCGCAGCGGCAGCCTGGGCCGGTCTGACAGCGCCGCCAAGATGAGTGCCAAGGACCTGTTCGGTGAGTGAGGGTTGAGGACGGGAGGGTCTCCCCCTTCGGGCAGTGCTGCGCCCCCACCAGGGGCGGTCAGTGCTGGGCACCCGGGAGGCTCCAGGACCCCAGTCAAGCAGCCCCTCGGCCCCTCCGCACAGCTCCGGGCCACCCCCCCACAGGTAAGGGGAGAGCCTCACTAATAATTCAGGGCCATCAATATTGATCCGGCTGAGCTGCAACCCGATCGGAGGGGCCTGGGTGCCAGGTGTCTGCTGCGGGAGGGCCTGGCCAGCCCCGTCTGCCCCTCCCCTGCCCTGCCCCAGGCCATGGGCTCGTCTGTGGGTGTGGACAGGTGCCCAGTCTGGAGAGCCAGGGGCCCTGGGTGGGCAGGGAGATGTTAGGTGGCAGCAGGTGGGGGGCAGCCTCCTGCAACCCCACCCCGGGGCAGACCCCAGTCCCAGGCACCACCAGGGCCCGAGCCGGCCAGCCGGGATGGAGGGGCCACCTTTAGCCAGGACCCGGTCTTTCCTGGTGGCCACGAGGAGCCCACCGAGCACTGTCCTCCTGCTGGCCACTATCTCCACTCTGCGACTTCACACACACACACCCGTGGCCCAGCCGGCGGGTCCAGCCCCCGGCCGGGGCCGGCCGCCTCGGGGGAGTGACTGGCGTGTCCCCGTGCAGAGCAGAGGAAGAAGTACTCCAACTCCAACGTCATCATGCACGAGACTTCGCAGTACCACGTGCAGGTGAGCGGCCCTCCGGCCCCAGGGGCCCGCGGGGAAACCGAGGCCCGGGAGAAGTGTCGGCCCAGCTCCTGACACCGCGTCAGGGACCAGAGCCAGGGACGGCCCACACTGGTCCCGGCTCCGCCACAGGGGGCCTCCCTCCACTTCGTGGAGCTCATAGTCCGGGGGTCGCAGGACGCCCTGAATCGGTGTGGGGGGAAGAGGGTACTGGCGGCCAACTCAGCACAGGTGGGCCAAGGCCTGGTGCCGCCTGGCAAGCCTCAGGCGGGAAGACCCAGTGGGAGGGGAACTGTCACCCCAAAACAAGGAAGCAGACGGAGGGGGAGCTGGCGGGCGCGGTGGGAGCCCACAGCGGCCTGGCCCTGAGCCCCTCTCGGCCGCGGCCCGCAGGAGGGCCGGTTCCGGGGTCCGTCTCACTCCCACCCAGACCTCAGGCTGCGTGTTCCCTGCGTGACCTTCCTGCCGCTGGCCGCCGGCCACATTCCTGCCTCCCGGTCACCGTCCACGCCCGCAGACAGCAGGGCCAGGGGCAGCTGAGGAGCGAGAGGGGGGACCCGGACCAGCATGAGGGGGCCTAGTCCAGGAAGGCATGTACTTCCCTCCCCATTGCACCCTCCCCACCCACAGAGGTCAGACAAGTCACTGCTTCCCGAGCCTCGGTCTCCTCATCCATACAATGGGCCCACAGTGCCACTGGGAGTTCCTCTGGCTCGTGAACTGGGCCGTGTTGGGTGACACGCCCTCCCTGCCGACACGGGCAGGCTGGGGCCATTCCGTGCTGCCGGGCTGGTGACTGCTGCTGACTCAGTGCCCAAGGTCAGGGCAGGGAGGGCGAGCAGGTCAGCTCTGCCACCGGGCCTCCCAGCTCGGCTCCTGGACTTTGGTCCTGGCCGGCCTGTGAGGGCCCGAACCAGGGCGCCTCGTCTGCCCTCCCTGCAGCCTGCACGGCGGGGCGTGGGCAGGATTTGCCTGCTCCTCCCAGATGAGGAAACTGAGGCACAGAGAGAGGGTGAGAGGCAGCGGCTGGGCCCCGAGAGGCCCTGCAGCAGGTGATTTTGTTGGTTGACTTTTCGGAATGCGTGTCAGACATTGGTGTTGAGAGGGTTGCAGCTCTGTTACAGACTGTGGGGCCATCATGGGATGGAACTGTCTGGGGCTCCACCCCCCACGGCCTCGCGCTGTGCTGTCCTCCCCCCGTTCTCCCCCCACCCTCGTCACCACCCTTTTGTCTTTCTGGGAGTCCCCCACAAATGAGGTCACACTGCCTGATTTTGCTCGCAGTGTTTGGAGAAAATGGGAAGGGGAGGAGGGTAAGGCTCCTATGGCTGGAGCTGCCCACTGGCAGGCACTGCCCCGCGGCTGGCCAGCCCGCTCCCCGGGAGGAGACGCTGAGGGAGATGGCACCGGGCACAGCCACCTCTTCTGTGTAGTCGGGGGCACAGCTCAGCCCGAGCGCTGAAGGGTCCTCCTGGGTTTGCTAAGTGCTTCACTTCAGGCTTTTACATTTCGGTCTAGGAGCCATTTCCGTTTTTATTTTAACTTTTTCATCTGTAACGATTTCTCTCTTAGAAAAATCATTTTTAAATATATATATATTTTTATTTCAGAAAAGGAGAGGGAGAGAGAGCGAAACATCAATGATGAGAGAGAGTCATGGATCGGCTGCCTCCTGCAGGCCCCACACTGGAGCCCAAAACCTGGGCATGTGCCCTTGTCTGGACTCAAACCCGGGACCCTTCAGAATTATGCTCTATCCGCTGAGCCAAATGAGCTAGGGCAAAAAATCATTCTTTAAAATACGTTTTTTATTGGTGTTGTTTTAGAGAGAGAGGAGAAGGGAGGGAGAGAGAGAGAGAGAGAAACATGAATGTGGGAAATAGCCATCGGCAGCCTCCTGCACGCCCCCTTCTGGGGACAGTCCGATGGAGTGCCTTACAGGAATTGAACCTGTGCTTTTCTGCTTCTTGGAGGACCTCAACCACCTGAGCCATGCCCGCCAGGGCTCTGGGCTAATGTCACCTTTAGCCTCACTTTTTTAAAGTAGTGTTTTGAAGAGATATAGTTAGTGTTTTGTTTTGCTTTTTAATATATTTTTATTGATTTCAGAGAAAAGAAGGGGGAGAGAGATAGAAATATGCATGATGAGAAGTAATCATTGATTGGCTGTTTCCTGCACGCTCCCTACTGGGGATGGAGCCTGCACCCTGAGCATGTGCCCTTGTCTGGAATCAAATCTGGGACCCTTCAGTCCGCAGGCCTATGCTCTATCCACTGAACCACACCAGCTAGGGCAGGAGGTTTTGATTATGAGTTTACTTTCCTGCCTGTGAGGTCTGTAGTGATGTCCCCTCATCACTGACCATTTCTCTCTCTTTTTTTCTTGGTCAATCTTTCGAGGGGTTGTCACTTTCACTCACCTTCCAGAATTGTCTGTCCGTCTGTGAGCTTGTTAGCTCTGCTCTTTGTTTCCTTCATCCACTTCCCTGGGGGCTTTATTTGTGGTTTTCTCCTCCTGAGGAGAATGCTCAAGTCTTTAGGTGGAGTCTTCCTTCTTCACTCAGACATTCACTGAGCCTGTCAAAAGCGGCATCAGTTACACCCCAAGCTTTGGTGAGTGTGTTTATTATAACACGGTTCAGAATAAAATGGGTTGAAAGAAACTTGAACTGTGTGAGTGCATTTCTACGTGGAATTTTTTAACAAATATATATTTTCTCTTCCTACGATTTTTCTTAGCATTTTTTTCTCTTGCTTACTTTATTGTAAGGATACAATATGTAATATATATAACACAGAATAAGTGTTAATGGACTGTTTATGTGATCAGTAAGACCTCCAGTCAACAGTAGGCTATTGGTAGTTAAGTTTTGGGGGAGTCAAAAGTTAATTTCTGATTCTTTTCTCCCTTTTCTCTTCTTTCTTTTTCTTATCTTTGTTTCTTTTCTCCACAGATGTTTTGATGCCGCAGGTTGCTCCAGGGTCACCTGTACTTTCTGGTTTCCCTGTGGCTTCTCTGGCCCCCGGTTGTTCCGAAGCCTGTTGCTTAATTCCAGTTATTTGGGGCTTTTCAATCATCTTTTTGTTATTCGTTTCTAATTTATTTCTTTTATGGTCTGAGAGCATACTTGTATGCTTTGACTAGTTTGCAATTTACTGACTTTTTGGGCCCCACAGTGCCTTTTGATTCTATTTGGTTTGGTGAGGCTGGGTTTGGTTCTGTTCGGTTTGGTTTGGTTCAGTTTGGTTCGGTCTGGTTTGGTCCGGTTTGGTTTGGTGAGGCTGGGTTTGGTTCAGTTTGGTTCGGTTCAGTTTGGTTCGGTCCAGTTTGGTTCGGTTTGGTTTGGTGAGGCTGGGTTTGGTTCAGTTTGGTTCAGTTTGGTTTGGTTCAGTTTGGTTCAGTCCAGTTTAGTTTGGTTCAGTTTGGTGAGGCTGGGTTCAGTTCGGTTTGGTCCAGTTTAGTTTGGTGAGGCTGGGTTTGGTTCAGTTTGGTTCGGTCCGGTTTAGTTTGGTTCAGTTTGTTTCGGTCCGGTTTGGTTCGGTTCGGTTTGGTGAGGCTGGGTTTTGCTCACAGACAGGCTGTCTTACAGCCCCTTGTGCCCACTTACCTCTTTAACCAGCAGGTGGACACAGGAGTCGGGTCCAGCCTGTTATCAGGAACGGGTCTGCCCTGGCACCTGGGCAGCGCCTCTCCCCGCACCTGGCTCCCCGCACAGGGCACACGCCACCCACAAGGCTCGTCAGTCCTGGCCCACAGACGACATTAAAGTGTTCAACCGGGCCTGACTCCTAAGGTCCCCGGCACATAGTCCATCCCGTGGGAGAGCGACAGGTGTCTGTAAGGAAGTCCCATCGGCACTCTGACCCTTCTCCTGCCGGAGGCTGCGGAGGGGTCTTCTCCTTGTTTATCTGCTTGTTTATCTGGTGTGTCAGTGTGTGTGTGAGTGTCCTCGGTGTCTTCCTTATCACAAGACAAAGCAGGGCTGCTTCAAGGTCAGGCTCTGTGCAGTGGGGAGCGTTCAGCCCACAGACTGCGGGGCTTCGGGTTCCATTTGGTCATTCTGGTCACGGGCACGCTCCTTGGTTGTAGGCCTGACCGCTGGCTCCGAGTCGGGGCAGTGCAGGAGGCAGCCATTGATGTGTCTCTCCGTCTCTCCCCTCTCCTCCCCTCCCCTCCCACTCAGTTGAAAGCCGCTGGAAGCTGCCCTGGCAAGGAGTAACTGCCTTTCCTCACCAGACAGCCAGCTCGCCGGGTCTGCCGGTCGCTGCTTCCCTTTACTTTCCACTCTGCGTGCGGCTTTCTTCCCGGGAAGAGGTGCTTTCATGTTCATGTTACGTCCAGAGTGGGGTGCTTCCTTTGGAGCCCCCAGACTTCCTTCCCGGCGTGGGGGCCACTGGGAAGAAGGCCTTTCTGAGAGGAACGGGAACCGTTCAGCACTTTCTCCGGCGCCTCGCGGGGCCCTGTTCTGGTTAAGTCTTGACGGCCTGGAGTCAGTGTCCCTGTCCATCCAGCTGTCCCAGGAAGGGGGGGGTAAAGGGAGGGTTGGACTGGGCAAGGGTCCCCAGGGTGCCGCCTGGACATTCACTGGTTCCTGGCACCGAGGCCTGCTGTGTGTGGGCGCTGCCCCAGCCTGGGGACACAGAGGGGAGCAGGAGCACAACGGACGTCACCTGAGATGACGTCAGCTCCTGACAAATGAAACCCAAGGCCCGTGTGCTCAGTGGTCAGGCTGTGACCTATGAACCAGGAGGTCAGGGTTCGATTCCCTGTCAGGGCACAAACCCGGGTGTGCAGGAGGCAGCTGACCCATGATCCTCTCATTATTGATGTTTCTCTCTCTACCCTCTTGTCCTCTCTGACATCAATAAAAACATTTAAAAGCAAAATCCCAGGCCGGTCAGAGGAGGGTGCCAGTGATGCCACAGCTGGGGGCCCCTCTCCGAGCTGGGAGGCGGGAGGTGCAGCTGGGGAGCCTGTCTTGGAGCTGGGAAGGCAGGAGGTGCAGCTGGGGGGCCAGTCTCTGAGCCGGGAAGGTGGGAGGTGCGGCAGTCAGCACGGGGCTGTGGGGAGCCCCCCAAGGCAGAGGTGGGGGGGAGAGGGTGAGGGCAGCAGGGCTCAGTCCTGCCGGCCAGGTTCAGACACCCACAGGGAGCTGCCAGACGCCCTGGGGCGGCTGTGCCTGTCAGACCCCAGGCAGTGGCCCTCCCCAGCCGGGCATGGCCCTGGGCCCAGGGCGTGGCCCCCGAGGGCTCTGTCCGAGTGACCGCTGCCCCCCAGCACCTGGCCACCTTCATCATGGACAAGAGCGAGGCCATCGTGTCCGTGGAGGACGCCGTGCGGAAGCTGGTGCAGCTGAGCGCCAAGGAGAAGATCTGGGCGCAGGAGATGCTGCTGCAGGTCAACGACCAGGCGCTGCGGCTGCTGGACATGGAGACCCAGGTGTGTGTGTGTGTGGGGGGTGTGTGTGTGAGTGTGTGTGGGGGTGTGTGTGTGAGAGAGTGAGTGTGAGTGTGTGTGTGGTATGTGTGTATGTGAAGGGCAGGCTGGCAGGGAGGACTGGCGGGGGCCCAGCAGCCACATCCCAGACTGCCTCCACCTCGGCCGGCAAGGCTCAGGGGTTGAGCTTCTACCAAGAACCCAGGGGTCACTGGTTCCACTCCCGGCCAGGACACAGGCCCAGGTTGTGGGTTCCATCCCAGGGTGGGGTGTGTAGGAGGCAGCAGATGGATGTTTCTCTCTCTCCTCCTCCCTTCTTCTCTAAAACCGATAAAAACACTGCTTTTTTAAAGAGCGTGTTCCCAGGCTGTGCCCGCCTGGGCGCTGGGTCCGGTCTGTGTGCATCTGTGGCCACTGCTCCGGGAGCCGTCTCTGGGCCGCATCCCGTGTGGGGCCTGGAGTTACGGGGGGCGGGGGGGTGCCCCTGGCACAGGCTCCATGTGCCGGGCCCATGCCCTGGCACGTGTGTCCTCGGGCCCAGCCCGTGTTTGAGCCGCGTCTGGGGCTCATGGCTGTGGCCCGGGGTGCCTGGGTGAGCCGCCCTGTCCCCCAGGAGGAGCTGGAGAACTTCCCGCTGCCCACCGTGCGGCATAGCCAGACGGTGCTCAACCAGCTGCGCTACCCGTCTGTGCTGCTGCTCGTGTGCCAGGACTCGGAGCAGAGCAAGCCCGACATCCACTTCTTCCACTGCGACGAGGTGGAGGTGAGCGCTGGGGGGGAGGTGAGGGGCGGGGGGCGGGGAAGAGGAGCTGGGCCATGGGGGGGAGTGCTGGTGGGGAGTGAGCGGCTGGGGGGGAGCCGGGCCATAGAGGGGAGCCGGGCCATGGGGGGGGAATGCTGGGGGGGAGGTGGGCCATGGGGGGGAATGCTGGGGGGGAGGTGGGCCATGGGGGGGAATGCTGGGGGGGGAGGTGGGCCATGGGGGGGAATGCTGGGGGGGAGGTGGGCCATGGGGGGGAATGCTGGGGGGGGGAGGTGGGCCATGGGGGGGAATGCTGGGGGGGAGGTGGGCCATGGGGGGAATGCTGGGGGGGAGGTGGGCCATGGGGGGAATGCTGGAGGGGGAGGTGGGCCATGGGGGGAATGCTGGGGGGGAGGTGGGCCATGGGGGGGAATGCTGGGGGGGGAGGTGGGCCATGGGGGGGCCATGGGGGGGAGGTGGGTCATGGGGGGCCATGGGGGGGAGGTGGGCCATGGGGGGGCCATGGGGGGGAAGTGGGCCATGGGGGGGCCATGGGGGGGAGGTGGGCCATGGGGGGGATTACTGGGGGGGCGGTGGGCCATGGGGGGGCCATGGGGGGGAGGTAGGCCATGGGGGGGAACGGGGGGGAGGTGGGCCATGGGGGGGAGGTGGGCCATGGGGGGGGGAACGGGGGGGAGGTGGGCCATGGGGGGGCCATGGGGGGGAGGTGGGCCATGGGGGGGATTACTGGGGGGACGGTGGGCCATGGGGGGGCCATGGGGGGGAGGTAGGCCATGGGGGGGGGAACGGGGGGGAGGTGGGCCATGGGGGGGAGGTAGGCCATGGGGGGGAACGGGGGGGGGGTGGGCCATGGGGGGGAGGTCCGCACCGGGAGCCAGCTGACGTGTCCACAGGCGGAGTTGGTGCACGAGGACATCGAGAGCGCGCTGGCCGACTGCCGGCTGGGGAAGAAGATGCGGCCCCAGACCCTCAAGTAGGCCTGGCCCGGAGGGGAGGGGAGGGAGGCGGAAAGGATGCGGGAGGGGTAGGGAGGGCCACCCCCCCAGGGCCGGCTGTGAGCGGCCTGTCCCGCCCTCTGCCCAGGGGCCACCAGGAGAAGATCCGGCAGCGGCTGTCGGTGCTGCCCCCGCGCCAGGGCCCCGCGCCCGTGCCCTTCCAGCCCTTCGCCCAGAGCTCGCCCCCCAAGAACCGCGTGGGCCCGCCCGTGCCGCCCAGCGAGCCAGGTGCGCGGGGGCTGGGCTGGGGCGGGCGGACGCAGGCAGGTCTGGGGGCTCAGTCAGCGGCAGCTCTGCTCCCCCTCCCCTCCTCCAGGCTACCGCGCCCAGGAGGCTGCGGATGAGGAGCCCCCGCGAGCCGTGCTGGCCCAGAGGATAGAGAAGGAGACGGTGGGTTCCAGCCTGAGGGCGCCCCTCCCCCTGCACCCACCGTCTCCCCTGCACCCCCTTCCCCCTGCACCCACCCCTCCCCCTGCACCACCCTCCCTCTGCACCATCCTCCCCCCTACACCCACCCTCCCCCTGCACCCACCCTCCCCCTGCACCCACCCTCTCGGGGCAGAGGCCTAGAGGCAGCCCATGCGCCCAGAGCGGGGGAGGGGGGTGCCTGGCCGACGCCACCGCTCTGCCCGCAGCAAATCCTCAACTGCGCGCTGGACGACATCGAGTGGTTCGTGGCCCGTCTGCAGAAGGCGGCCGAGGCCTTCAAGCAGCTCAACCAGCGCAAGAAGGGCAAGAGGAAGGGCAAGCGGGGCCCGGCAGGTGCGTGGCGGGGCGGGGCGGAGGGGGTGCGGGCCCAGCAGGTGCGGGGGAGGGAGAGGGAAGTGCGGGGGGGGGGGGTGCGGGAGGCCACCCTATCCCGGCGGCCGGACTCACCCTCCCTCCCCCTCCCGTGCAGAGGGGGTCCTCACGCTGCGGGCGCGGCCGCCCTCCGAGGCCGAGTTCGTGGACTGTTTCCAGAAAACCAAGCTGGCCATCAACCTGCTGGTGAGGCCCGGCGCCTGCCGCCCTGGGCCCGGGAGGGCGGGGGGCGGAGGGTTAGGGTCCTCCCTCAGCCGGCGCGGCCGCCCCTTGCTCACCAGCGCCCCCTGCCGCCCGCAGGCCAAGCTGCAGAAGCACATCCAGAACCCGAGCGCCGCCGAGCTGGTCCACTTCCTCTTCGGGCCGCTGGACCTGGTGCCTGGGCGGGGCTGGTGCCTGGGGCGGGGCTGGGGCGGGGCGAGGATTGAGGGCAGGACAGGTCGGGATGGGGCGGGCGAGCCCCCCCCCCCCGCCCCCGTGACCCCTCTGAACCCCGCTGTGCCCCAGATCGTCAGCACCTGCGGCGGCCCGGACATCGCGCGCTCCGTGCACAGCCCCCTGCTCTCCCGGGACGCCGTGGGCTTCCTGCGGGGCCACCTGGTCCCCAAGGAGATGGCGCTGTGGGACTCGCTGGGGGAGGCGTGGACGCGCCCCCGGTACGGCGGGGGGGGGGGGGTCCCCCAGGCTCAGAGGGTTTGGGGCGGGCAGTCCGGGGGGGCGTGACTCACCCAGCCCCCCCCCCCCCCCAGCTCCGAGTGGCCCCGGGAGCCGCAGCAGCTGCTCTACGTGCCCAAGTTCCACAGCGGCTGGGAGCCGCCGCTGGACGTGCTGCGGGAGGCGCCCTGGGAGGTGGAGGGGCCGGCCGCCCCCGGCGCCGAGGTCAGAGCACCCCCGTCCCCCGGGCCCCCCTCGGCCGCCCGCCCCCCCCCCCCCCACCCCCTCACCCCCTCCCGGCCTGACCCACCCACACCAGCCCGCGCCTCTCCCGCAGCCCTCCCCGCCCTCCCCCGGCCGCCGGTCCTTCCGGAACTCCGTGAAGCAGAGCCTGGTGCCCGAGCCCGCGTCCCCCGGGGATGCGCTCCCCTCCCCGCACGCGCACAGGTAAGTGAGGGGGACCGTCACCCCTCACACAGAGGCTCCGGCCGCCACCGGGGGACAGCAGAGCTCACGGGGCTCAGACAGCTCTTCCCGCTGGAGCCGGGCTTCCCTCCAACCTGAGGCCGTGAACCTCAGGCCTGCCCAGCGCCGCCCGCAACCCACCGCCTCCTGCTCCCGCCTGGCTCCCCGCTTTGTGCTGTAGGCCCGGCTAGACATGTGTGAGCCCAGGGTCTGACCAGCCCCTGCCCCCTGTCCCTTACCCCTCCCCCTACACACACACATACACACACATCTATACACACATACATATATATACATACACGCACATACACACACATATAAACACACACACACACACACACACACACCTGGAAAGACCACACCCCTCAGGCCCAGGATCTGCCCGGAGCGCATACCCTGCCGGACCCCAGGTTCAGCTTCAGGAGGGGTGACCCCAAAGCCACGTGTTCCCCGTGAGCTTCCCTCTGCCCGCACCAGCCACACCGGCCTGGGCCGCCCGTGAAAAACATGTCCACCCTTTGACCGGGCTGCCCCCCCAACCCTGACAGCCGTCCACCTGCCGGGGCTCTGGGGGGCACTCCAGCCTCAGACCCCTCCCTCCCCAGTGTCTCCGGCCACACCTGGACGAGGGAGGCACCTGATGATGGGGAGCCAGGGTGGACCAGGAGGGGGCGCTGGGTGGCAGCCTGGCTCCGTGCTGAGGTCAGGACCCGCCCAGAGCCCCCCCCCGTACCCCTCAGCCCACGGGCGTCCTCCGCAGGGAGCTCAGGACTGTCCCTCCCTCCTGGTGGGGTGCTTTCCAGAGGCGGCAGCGACCTTGTCATTTCTGGGGTACATGCCTGGCCCTGGTAGGGGGCCGGGCATGGGGACCCCTGAGGTGGCTTGGGTTGGGGCTGGCCTTGCTATGCCCGGGTCCCACCGGCCTCGGCCCCGCCATCGCACCCCCACCTCCCACAGGGCCCCCCCACCTCGATCTCTGGGCTGTCACAGTTTCCATTCCCGGCTGCGAGTGGCTCAGCTCACTGCAGCCTGAGCGAGCGCGGGAGGCACCGCACGCCCAGAGCTGCCCTCCCGCCCTCGGCCGCAGCCAGGAGACCCCCGGCCCCCGGCCCCGGCCCCGCCTCAGCCCTCTGCTCCTCGCAGGGGCTACGAAGCCACGCCGGCCATGGCCAAGTACGTCAAGGTTCTCTACGACTTCACCGCCCGCAACGCCAACGAGCTGTCGGTGCTCAGGGACGAGGTCCTGGAGGTGCGTGGGGCTGTAGGGGGGCGGGGGAGGGCAGATCCATGACCCTGGGACCGGCTTGGCTGCCCCCCTTTCCCCAGGCACCCCCTCCTACCGCTGGGCTCCGGCCTGGGTCCAAGCAGAGACTGGATGAGGGACAACCCCCCCCCCCAGGCCTCTGAGGGGCACGGGCGCCTGTGCTGGGTTCAGGACAAAGGGTGGGCGCTCCCTGTGCCGACGGGGGAGCCCCGACCCAGCAGGGCCTTGTCCATGCCCACCTCTGGTCCCCCCTGGGCACCACCTGGGTTTGGTGCCAGCCCTAAATCTGGGTCACCCGTCAGGGGAGGGAAGCGGGGTGAGCTGAGGGTGATCTACATCTGCAGCCAGCCTGGGGCACCCCGCTCAGCGTGCAGCTGGGGGGCCGTGGGGAGGCCCAGCACCTGGAGAAGGTGTGACTGTCCCCTTAGGTCTGGGGGGCTCAGGGGAGACGCTAAAGCCCCTCCGGACCATCGGCACAGACCCCGCGCTCCCAGCACTCCAGGCCCGTGGCCGAGGGGGGCTGCTGGGGGTGCCAGCGGGTGACTGGGGGGGCCTGCAGGTGCTGGAGGACGGGCACCAGTGGTGGAAGCTGCGCAGTCGCAGCGGCCAGGCTGGCTACGTGCCCCGAAACATCCTGGATGAGGTCCGGGCAGAGGAGGCCGGTGCCCCCCACGAGGTGAGGGTGATGGGTGAGGGCTCTGGCTGTCCCACCTCCACTGGGCCGGGGTGGGGGTGGAGGAGTGGGGGGTAGGGGTGGTGCATGGTTCTCAGGGAGACCCCCTCTACCCTTAGTGCTCGCTACAGGGGCTCCAGGTGTGGCCCAGGCCAGTTGGGGGCTGGGCAGGCTCGGGAGGGAAGGGGGCGGGGCTCCTGCTGAGAAGGAGATCAGTGACGGGTGGGCTCCGCCCCTGTCTCCCCCCCACTTCCAGGCGGGTCTGAAGTACTGGGGTCCTGCCAGCCCCACCCACAAGCTGCCCTCTAGCTTCACCGGAAACAAAGACGGTGAGGGGGGCGGGGCGGGGCAGAGCCAGCTGGGACGGGAGGGGAGGGGGAAGCCCTGGAGGGAGGGGAGCCCCAGGGGGGAGGGGAGCACAGGGGGAGGGGAGCCCCGGGGGAGGGGAAAGAGCCTGACCCGCCCCTGCCCCCCAGAGCTCATCCACCACATGGACGAGGTCAACGACGAGCTGGTCAAGAAGATCAGCCACATCAAGGCGCAGCCGCAGCGGCACTTCCGCGTGGAGCGCAGCCAGCCCGTGCACCTGCCGCTCACCTACGAGTCCGGCCCGGACCAGGTGCGCGCCTGGCTGGAAGCCAAGGCCTTCAGCGCCAGGTGCGTGGGCGGCGCGGCAGGTGCCCAGGGTGCGGGGTGCGGGTGGACGAGGCCGCCACGCCCACAGGGCCCGCCTTCACTCCGCCCGCCACGCCCGCCCCGCAGGATTGTGGACAACCTGGGCATCCTGACGGGGCCCCAGCTCTTCTCGCTCAACAAGGACGAGCTGAAGAAGGTGTGCGGGGAGGAGGGCATCCGCGTGTACAGCCAGCTCACCGTGCAGAAGGCAGTGCTGGAGGTGAGCCCCGCGCACCCCAACCCCCCGCCCAGCCCCGCCCCCTGCGCACCCCCGTGCCCCCTCCCCCGCCCCGCCTCCCGTGGCCCGCCCCGTCCCGCCCCACCTTCCCCGCCTGGTCCCCGGCCTGACGGAGCCTGATGGTGGGTCCCGCCGGGCGCCCGGGCTGAGGCCGACTCTCCCGCCCCAGAAGCAGCACGGAGGGTCGGAGCTGGAGGAACTCATGAGCAAGTTCCATTCCAAGAGGCTGGAGGGGGACAGCTAGGCCCGGCTGGAGACCCGCGCCGGCCCACCGCGTGGAGTAGTGTTTGTATGCGTGTGCATTTGTACGGACATGGGGCAGCTCACCTGGTGGGCAGTTCACCTGCCTCCTGCCCACGGCCCACCTCACCGCCTGCCCACGGCCCACCTCAGCCAAACTTGCCGCCTGGAGGTGCCAGCCCCACCCAGCTCTCCCCACCTCCCCCCACCTCTGGCCACCTCCATCCACAAGGGGTCCCTGGGCCTCTGCCCCTGTCCCACTTACATGACTGCCCCCATCCACTGGTACTCCCTGTAACCGCCCCCCCCGGCTGGCCGTGGGCCCGAGGGCAGCAGCACACCTCAGCCACTCAGCACCCAGCCATCCAGCGCCCACCCTGTGCTCTGCTCCCCGGTGGCCAGAAGCAGGTGCAGACTGGACTCACCCAAGCACTGGCCTGGTCATCCCACCCACCCCCACTGCCCACACCCCAATTGCCCACACACCCCTTGCCTGCACCCCCACTGCCTGCACCCCCCTGCCCAAACCCCCATTGCCCACACCCCCCTGCCCACACCCCCGCCCATCCCTGAAGCAGAGCCCAAGAATGGACTGTCTGGCCAGCCTCAGGCCAGCCTGGCCCTGTGTGCTGAGCCAGGGCCTGGGAGGCCTGGAGCCCTGGACTCAGACCACGCCCCAGAACTGAGAGCCACACTCCGAGGCGCTGACATTAAACCAGTTTTCTCCTCGCACCCCCGCATCTGTCTCCTAGAGTGGGGGGTCACTGTGGGTTGCAGCTGTGTGAGAGCTGGGGCAGGGGCAGGCTGGGCCAGGCGGGCGGTGGAGGCCCCAGTCCGGCCGCTCCCCCTGACCCTGTTGGGAGCCCCTCCCCTTCACAGGATCCCAGAGGGGCCAGGGGACATGCCTGGGAGGGGAGAGGCTGAGGGGGGCCCTGCCCAGAGGCCAAAGACTGGCACCCAGACAGTGGGAGCGGTGGGAGCCAGATCTGCCTGAGCTCAGCTGGGTGGGGAGCACGGGGTGTGAGTCAGAGAAGCGAGAAGCTAAGCTGAGGGTGCGGAGGGGGACGGGGGGAGGGCTGAAGGTGGGTCAGCTGGGATAGCGTCGGTGCAGGAGCCAGAGGCACAGAGGGCTGCACTCCGCCAAGCACCCGACCACCGGGGGGGAGCCAGCGCCCCACCCTGGGAGGAGGCCGCCGCGCCCTCTGCTGGCCACTCTGCGTGCTGCAGCGCGCGTCCAGGGGCGCCCTAGTGCCTGTCTGCCTGGGGGCGTCCTGACCTGCAGGGAGCCGGGGGAGCAGCCCGGAGCAGGGTCTCCAGAGGGGTCTGGGCTGGGCGGGCGCCGCGGGGAGCTAGGATGCAGAGGGCAGCCGGGGCCAGGCAGGGCTGATGGGAGGGCCACCCCGGCTGCTGGGCCGTCAGGACGGGACCAGTCCCCACGTCTGGAAAGCTCCGTGTGGCTGGGACAGGCCACCCCGGGCCAGTCTGCAACGACTCCTTGGGACTGGAGTGTCTGGTCCGTCTGGGCCATCACAGCCCATCCCCCCAGGAAGGAAGGACCCCCTCCAGGCCAGGAAAGAAGCTCTAGCCCTAACCAGTTTGGCTCAGTGGATAGAGTGTTGGCCTTTGGACTGAAGGGTCCGGGTTTGATTCCAGTCAAGGGCCCATGCCCCGAGTTGTAGGCTCTATCGCCAGTGAGGGGTGTACAGGAGGCAGCTGATCCACGATTCTTTCTCATCATGGATATTTCTTTCTCTCCCTTCCTCTCCTTTCTCTGAAATCAATAAGAATATATTTCTTTAAAAAAAAAAAAAAAAAAAAGAAGTTAAAGAAGTTCTGGCCTCCGAGCCTGGGCGGGCCCCTGTGGACAGGGAGGTGGCCCCCAGGGGATAAGAGGAGGGCATGGGGCAATGTCCCACCCATCGAGAACCACCAGGAGGTACAGGCAAGGCCACCCCCACTGCCCTGCTAGGCTGAGCCCCTCCCTCAGAGCGGGGCGGGGGGCACCCCGGCTCCACTGCCCCAATGGGGCTCTGCTGGCCCAGGGGTGCCCACCCACCCCACCCAGCAGGGCTCACGGTCGCCAGCATGGCCTGAGCTTGGGGCCGCTGCCTCTGGTCTGGGGTGCTGATTTCTGAGCCCCAGAACCAAACCTGCTCCTGGGTTCAGGTGCAGGTGGGCCCGTTTCAAGTTCCTAACCATTCGCCCCCGTGCAGACTGCGCGGGCAGAGATCTGGTGGTGCCGCCCAGGGGTTGGGGCTGCAGAGGGGGCCCGAACCGGGTGAGGGCGGAGCTGCCCGCTCAGTGCCCTCTCTGGGCTCAGCAAATGCTGAGGAACAAGGCCCGCTGTCTGCTGTCTGTCTCAGGGACAGGCCTGTCTTTGTGCCCCCCACCCCCTGCCGCGTGGCTCTGAGGCCTCGCCTCCCCCCACAGTGGCCTTGGCCCCACACCCACTCCAGCTGGCCCGGAGGCGAGAGGGCACAGGGCTGTTGGGGAGAGCTGTCTCTTTCTTCCAAGAACTCTCTGCCCAACTCAGGGGTGGAGTGTCCACCTAGGACCAGGGGTCAGGATTCGATTCCCAGTGGGGACACGTGCCAGGGTTGCAGGTCCGATCCCCCAGGTGGGGCGTGCAGGAGGCAACTGGTCGACGATTCTCTCTCATCATGGATGTTTCTCTCTTCCTCTCTAAAGTTAATAAAAATATATTTAAAGAATAATAATTTTGCCAAAACCGGTTTGGCTCAATGGATAGAGCGTCGGCTTGGGGACTGAAGGGTCCCCGGTTCGATTCCGGTCAGGGGCATGTACCTTGGTTGCGGGCATATCCCCACTAGGGGGTGTGCAAGAGGCAGCTGATCGATGACTCTCTCTCATTGATGTTTCTGACTCTCTATCTCTCTCCCTTCCTCTCTGTACAAAATCAATAAAATATATTTTTTTAAAAAAAGAATAATAATTTCTTTTCCTAGGAAATACACTCTTTGCATGTTGAATGCTGGCTCTCCAAAATGCGTGGGCTCCCCCAGGGCCTGCGTGGGGGGATGGGGGGACGGCAGAGGGAGGGAGGCCTCTGAGGCTTGAGGGGGACGGCCCCCGGAGACACTTTGGGTTCAGGAAATGGCGCCTCCGGGTGAGAAGTGAGTTCAGTGTTGCTGGGCCCTTGCACTGTCCCCCAAGGGCTGTGGGGCCCGTTGAGGAAGGTCCTGAGACCGAGGTATTGCACCCCTTCTTCCTGGGCGTTGCAGGCCCACAGGGTGGCCTGTGCGGAGAGGGGGGAGTCGCTCCCTGCCCCTGGTCAGGCATGTGGGGGAGGCAACCAGTCGATGGCTACTCTCACATCAGAGTTTCTCTCTCTCCCTCCCTCCCTGGCTCCTTCCCTCCCACTCTTTGAAAAGCAAAGGGAAAGACACCCTCGGGTGCGGATTGACAAAATAATAATAATAACAACAACAAAACAAGTGCAGACAGGAGGGGAACCAGACACAAGAAGCCACGCCCCCGGGGACGCCTGCAGATGGGGGTGTGGGGAGAGCCGCTGGGGGAGGGGCCTTCGCAGAGAGCACCCCCATGAGGACAGAGAGGGGGTGCCCCCAGGTCTGGGAACAGCAAACACGCCCCCTCGGGCCTACGGAGCCCAGTCCTGGGCCCTGCCACTCACATCCCGCTGCCCCCCACAGCAACGCTGCTAATGGGGGGCTCCCCCTTCCCCTCCCCGCCTGCTGCCTCCGGGTGCCCTGGCCCCGTGCATGTCTTCACCGGACGTTTGACCTGTGACAGGAAGATGAAGCAAGTCTCATGTCCCCTCCCAGGCTGCAAACCACCACCGTCTCCAGAACTTTCCAAACAAAACTCTGTCCCCATTAAACACCCCCCTCCCTTTCCTGTCCGTGGGTCTGACCCGGGGGCCTCCTCTGAGTGGGTCCCACAGGGTCCGTCCCCCTGGGTCCCCCTGGGGCTGGCTTATTCCCTGGCACAGCATCCTTATGTCTGTCTGGGGCGGGCGGCAGGTCCCTTTCCCTTTAAGGCAGTGAGGTCCCATTGTGTGGAACACAGCCAGCACCCCATTCCCATGTGAGGTCTCTCCCACATCGAGCTGGCGCCCTCCATTCAACTCTCCCGACACTGTGGACCCCGAAGCCCTCAGATCCCACAGGCTGCTAGGGGCTCAGTCCCGAAAGACTGCCCCCCAGATGCCAACCACAGCCCACTGGGACCCCGAGGCTCCCGGGACGCCTCCCAGTTCCCTTGCCAGGCCTCTGGCTGTGACTGCTCCCCGGAAGGCCTGCATAGATTCCCACGGCGGGAGGGACTGTAGGGGCGGGGGGCTCTGCACTGGGATGGGGGGGAGAGGGGCTCCTGAACACCCATGTGTCCCCCCCCACGCAGGCGGCAAAGCACAGCAAGCTGCAGCGGCCGGCGGCCTGAGCCCACAGCTGTCCATGGACAAAGTGTCCCTTCCCACCGTGCCCAGCGCGGGCCTGAGTGACCTTCTCTCGGCTATGCACTCTTACCCCATCTTACTCCACTCTTCCCTCTCCCTGGACCCAGGGCCTGGAAGGCGCCTGTCCATGTTTGTGTTCTGCTCTACTTGGAAGCAGGGGCATTTGGTGGTTGAATCAGCCATCAAGACCCTGACTCTGGCCCGGCCGGTGTGGTGCAGTGGTTGAGCATCCTCCCACGAACCAAGAGGTAACAGGTTCGATTCCTGGTCAGGGCCTGTGCCAGGCTGCAGACTCCATCCCCAGGAGGGGGCGGGCGTGCAGGAGGCAGCAGATTGATGTTTCTCTCCCTCTCTCCCCTCCTCTCTGTAAACCCCCCTGAAAATGCCTATGTTTTAAGAACGTGAGACTCTCCAGGGAGAGTGACCTTTGCTGCGTAGTCTGCGGGTTCGAGCCTTAAATTCATCCTGTGGATGAGGCCGCCCTGTTGATTGCATTGGGTTTTTTTTTCTTCTTCTTGTTTACTAAGCTCTGCACCTTCTGCCTCTGAGCCCGGACCCCAGCTGTGCCCTTTCTGTGAGTGACAGCCCCTGGCGGGGGTCCCTCCGGCACCCAGGGGCGAGGGGCTGGGCAGGTCAGCTTTGCTCTGGGGAAAGGTCTCCGCCCGGAGGGGAATGATCCACACTGACCGAGGCTTTTATTTACCTTAAAACATGCTTTTGTTGTTTTTAGAGAGGGGGGGAGGGAGGGAGAGAACATCGGCTGCCTTCCCACCAGGAACCAAATAGAAACCTGGGTGTGTGCCTTGACCAGGAACTGACCGGTGACATCCTCAGCCTCTCCCGCCCTTTGTCCCGTTCTCCTGACTCAGCCCCCGCCCCAGGCCTCTGCCCAGGCCCCGCTCCGCTCCCTGCCTTGTCAGGCGCCGCCACATTCCGGGGTTACCCCACCCCCTCACCCACCCAGATCCCAGGAGGGGCAGAGGCTGAACCACAGCCACACCCAGGTCCGTGCAGCTCCCGGGCAGGCCCAGCACCCTGCCTCTGCCCATGGCCCCTCCCTCCCCGCTCCGACCTGCGCCCTCAGCGGCCCTGGCAAAGCAGCGCCAGCGGTGCCCCAGCAGCCTGCGCACCTGTCCATCTGTGCCCAGGTCTGCTCCTGCCCCTGCCACCACCCCTGACCTCCCTTCACCCCGACATCCTGGAGGGTGATGAAGGCCTCTGTTGCACCAGTGCCCTGGACCCCAGCCACGGCCCTCCAGGGACCTGCTGAGCCCCTCTCCTCTCCTGCCCCC